AAAATTACCTAAATTAATTGTATTTAGTATTCTTAAACAATTTTATATGCTCTTTTTCAGTTTCTGAATTTTATACTAAGACCTTGTGGAAATGCTGACTGAAGCTGCTAATAGGGTTTTCTTATCCACAGTGAAATAAGTCTTTTACCAGCTTGACCCCAAAGGCGACTCAACAAGGAAGTAGCAATTGCTCAAAAAGCAACATAAAAAAAAACCTATTACAGTTTAGAAATGCAGCCAGAAATGCATCCAGGAACACAGCACTCCATTTTTGGTAATATTTCTGTGGTCTGTTTAAATTAAAATGTAACTGTTTGGCCATAATGACATAACACCCTGGTTTGAGACTGCGAGCATACCTAAAAATAATTTTGTGTGAGCAACTTTGTAAACAAAACCGACTCTGTATCATCAGTTCGATCCGGAAGAATAAATCAGAATTCCAGCAAATGATTGGGAAAAGCTTGTAGAATGATATATGATCAATGTCAAATAAAATGTTATAAAATGTCATGGTTATTAAAAGACAAATATATTAATATATATTATTTATTTATATATTTTTGAAAATCCTAACAGAAAAAATTACTCTGATCGACTGTCAGCCATTGGGAAAAAACGGTATTTACTTTAACACAAGATAAATTTCATTGGGTCCTGAACTAATCCTCACAGTTTGCAGTTCCTTAAATGTTTTAGGGTTTCATTCAGAGTATGTAAACCTCTGATTCAATTTTATATAAAAACCTAAACATAGATGTTTCAAAACTTATAAATGTTGAGTCCTTTTGTCAGAGCCCTTTGTTAAATTTATTGCGTAAAACATGAGACTGCAGACAGAAATCTCATTGCTGCTGAGATGAGCTTTTGACAAATGGACAAATAAGAGCACTCAGACAACCTCGCAGTAAAAATAAGTGCTGCATCAGCATGCATCCCATAACACACCAACAGGAAATTTACATTTAAGCACATTTATTTTGTGCTCAGCAAAGTGCATATTGATTTTATTTCAATTGCCACTCTCTTCATTTCAGCTACCACCCCCCAAATAAAAAAAAACTACTATTCCTGGCAAGCTCCACAAAGAGTGTAGGCTCTCAGCTGCTATGCTCCTGTTTGTTTGTGTGTGAGATATCTACTGACATAAAGCTTTGCGATTGAAGTCAAACAACGTTAACGTGGTCACCCATCCATCCTCACCTCTGGCCTTTTGTGTTTTACGGCAGATCACACCATCGTTGAAAGCTGCGCACTGAATGATTCCATTAGGGTGGATTATGTCTTCATGTCTGTGTGCAGAGCTGGTTAACTGTTGAACAAATTAGTTTAGTGGTGACTCTAAGCAGGCTACTCCAATAAATCCATGGCCTTTTATTTCATTAGGAAGCCACAGGATATCTGTCATTTGTGCTATGGCCTTGGAAGATAGTGTTGTCACAAGGACCGGGCTCCTACAGAGTTGATTGATTAACATAAGGGCTGACTATAAATCATGTAAGCAGTAGCAAATTACTCAAAGCATGTCATAAATCGACTGGTGTGGTATTAAATGTACATGGTCTACTCTTTATGAAGATGTTATTATGCAAAAAACCATTGATTTAATAACAAAATATTTAACTGGACTGTAGGAAATGGGATTCATCAGGTAGACACACTAATTTATGAGCATCATTAAAGAAAAACATCAAGACGAATCAAAACAATTGCCCTGCTTTGAGAAGTAATTGCTTAGTTCTTGTTTTGCATCCCCAGCAGCCTAGGTTATTTATTATTGTTAAGCACTTCAGCACACAACCACTTGACTTTTGGTTTCCTTGGCAATAAGCAAGCTAAATCCTGCTCCACTTCTTCAGGTGGAAGTGAGTCAACCGAGCTGTTGTACAAATCGCCCCCGTACCATCCTCACGCTTTCGCATGAGCTAGTTGTGGAGCATAGAGAAAACTGGAACAAAAACAGGAGCACAGAGACAAATGACAGTCTGTTGTAATCGACAGCAGCGTTTCTCCACAGGCAAAACATTCCCTGGCACCAGCACGCTAAGCCTCGAAGCATCCTTTCATTCATTGATCAAGAATTCACAAATCTTTTCCGCTGATGCCTAAGCTCATGAAGCAGTCAGAGGACTTTTAAAACAGCTGACAAATTGTTGGCAAATGAAAAGCTGCACAGGAGCCATAGATTTTCATTCTTATTTACGATCATATAAATTCATCTTATTGTCCTCCCAGTAGGGCAAGAGAATAAACCTGACACAAAATCAGTAGTTAATTATTCAGTTCCATTATGCAGCATTTCAAATGAAGCACTAAAATCGTCTATCTTGGAACCTGTATAATTTTTTGAACATAATTACCATTTCAACTTTTGGGAATGTTGGGAATCATGCTCTACTTAGTACATGCAGTGCCTTATAAAAGTATTCAGAGGCCCTTTTTCGCATTTTGCTGCAGCACAACCACAAACTACTGGAATTTTATGAAATGGAGCACCATAAAGTTGCACATACACCAGGCAGCAACGGATCAGACAGGTCAGAGATAAAGCTGTGGAGAGTTTCAAAGCAGGATTAGGTTATAACAAAAATATTTTAAGGACTATTTGATCTACTGTCTGAAAACATATAGAACTCTGTATAACTGCAAACATGCCAAAATATTCCAATATGTCCACCTACAGTGACAGAAAATCTGCCAAAAGGCCCAAAATAAAGCTGGAGGACCCTTTAGAGAACCATCGTTCAGGTGAGAGAAACTTTAGACAACATTATCCTGAGCTATGCCCCCCAGAAACACTCTCTTTTATGGAAGAGCACAATGGAATGACTTGGATCAGAGCACATGTATGTGATAATGGCTTGGAAAAGTGCCCTCAATATGCAAAGATAAGAAGCTAATAATTGGCATCCTTTCCAATATGATTATCCTGTCTAAGAGTGATTCTGAAAAACTACCATGCATTTGTAACTTTAAGGCCAGACTACTGCAATTCTTTATCAAAAAGATGTCCACATAATGTAATTACTGTAGAAGCTCCAAAATGCTGCAATGCCATTGTTTTAAATGAAAATTTTAAACAATTTTTCCTATTTTAGCTTCCCTTCCTTGGCTAAAATAGTTTTGTGTTCATCAAACACATACAATTCCAGGATATAGTGCAAGGAACAAAGTCGGTAGCTCTCTAATGCGACAAATGTGGAAAAAGTTATTTTGTGTGTTGCTGCATATAGACACAGCACCCCTTGCACGATTATTAAGAACATTTTTAAAGAAGGATCATATTTATAATGTTATTCTTATTTCTTAGATGCAGTAAGTAAGCATATAAAAACAATGTGTCAATAAAAAAATAATTAATCTAAATTTTGGTCGATTTGAGTAAATCACAGGAAGGACGTCCATGAGACCTAAAACAGACTGCTGGATGCAGCATGTGTCCCGATTTCACTGGAGTGCAAAAGATCTGAATCCTGTTGACTCAGTCAGCATAAAATGCTACGTCACCATGGTAACAGCGTATGCAACACACATGGATGATGGACACAGAGAGAGCTATTGTCGTACCTTTGTTACAGGTTGAAAACTGAAATTAAAATGTGGGGGATGTTGACAGCTATGACTAATAACTGTAAATAAAAACATAAAAAGAACTCGTTTGTCCATTCTGGATTTGTGCATCACAAGGCTGAGGCGCTGCAGGCCACGTTGGAGCGCTTCTTCGTATTATGTAATTACGTTCAACAGTGACGGTAACAGCAAAATCCACACAAAAACCGTTGTTCAAGCCATTAGAAAGAAATGTCCACTTGTTATTAATTGTGCGCTAAGGAAGCAAATTGCCCTTAGTGTCGGTCCATAAAGTTGCATAACATTTCAGTCACTACCCCTCTGATTACCAACAAGCGTCGCTGCCCATTGATAATTTCTGGAGGAATAAACCTCACCGCACAACTGTACCACGGGTCCACGAGGGGGAAATTAAGATGCGGTCGTTTTCCTCGCTTTAGACAGGGGCGCATTGAACCATAACAACTCCCCCAGTGGACACCGCGACATCTGGCGCGCGTCTAACACCGAGGATCAGAGCGCAGGGCGGGCATGTGCTCCTACCTGTCCGCAGATTGAAAGATCTCCTGGCTTCCACCAGATACGGGATGTCGCTCGTGGAGCGGAGCCTCCTGAGCGGTCTTCGGTCTGAATTGCTGGCCGGTGTGGTCGCCATCAATTTGAGCCAGTGTCCAGAGATGACTGCTGGCCGACTGGGACAGAAGCAGAGCCGCACGGCCACTCGCGCGCGCTGGGAGGCAGCGATCGATGGAGAGGAGGAGGGAGTACACATGCACGAGAGAATGAGAGAAAGAGAGAGAGAAAGAAGAGAGAGAGAGAGAGAGAGAGAGAGAGAGAGAGAGAGAGAGAGAGAGAGAGAGAGAGAGGAAGGAGAGGCGTTGGTGTGAAATGATACCAATTTAAAACACGAAGTAAATAAACGAATATTGTGGTTGGGAATCAGCTACTTTAAAAAGAGTGATGATGTTGATGATGATGATGATGATGATAATAATAATAATAATAATAATAATAATAATAATAATAATAATAATAGCCTAATAATAATAAAAGTAGTACTGCTATGGATAAAAACAAACATATTCCAAACTTTTTTATTTTTTTCACCTGTGAACTTTATATTCTTTCATTTTCTACGTGAAAATACAAATAAACTTTATGGATAAATAAATAAATGCAAATAAATGTAGTTGTTTCAAAATGTTTACATTTAAGTTGTTTATAATTTAATCTAAAAACTAAACTAAATTACACTTCACTTAATAAAACTAATTTAACACATACAGTTAATTATTATTATTATTCATGTAAATTGAGGCAAAATTATTTTGGGGAATGAAAAATTATACCTGCCTGAGCGACAGTTAATGATATCCACCACTAGAGGGCGAACTCGAATTACACATAATCTTGGCTTTACGACACTCTTGTTCCTTTGCGGCCCCTCCTGATAATTGAGGACAGATAGGTAAACAAGCCCAGCGTGTCTTTCTCGACAAACCAAAAAAAAACCCTCCTGTCGAAGTCGATGCACATGTAAGTTCCTTCTAAAAAAGTGCTTTTGTTCACGTTGTTTTTGCTCGATGCAAGTTAAGGTTACAAGGTTTTCTTTGCTCTAACGACATCTTTCGGAGGTCGTCACGTACTTCACGACTGTTGGGCAACACAATACGTCTGCATTTTGTAAACAATGAATATAATGGCATTAGGCTGCTTCTAACGCCGAGGAGCATAAAAACAATGCTTGATATACTTTGTTTGCGAGTTTTCAAGTAAAAAAAGGAGGCGACATCAGAAAGAGCGCTGCGTGATGTCAGAATACCGACAGAGACCAAAGGGTGTATTAACCCTGTTTTGAATGGAAGGTCTGACATTCAGTTCAACCTGCTTCCATTTGTTTGACTTTGTTTGTGTTGATGGGTGTGTGAGTTCGACTATTTATTTTCTCCCGTTTCCCAACTGTTAGGAATTGAGTTCAACAAACACATTCTTCAGCTTTCCTCTGTGTGTACATTACTTGCCTTATCAGTGTAAAGATCCCCAGACTCTGTCGGGCCTGTTGCAGCTTCTTGCTGCAATAAAAACGCATCTCGGACTGCACAGCATTTTTGCACCTTACTTTATAGTCATTTAGACGATATGTTGACACGAGAAGCTACAAAAAGCATCGAGAGCAAAATCATCCATTTGTTTCATTGCCCAAAAGCAAAATGCTGCAAGCTCTCTTTGGTGGTTTTTAAATTGTGTAACTTTATCATCTGAACTGTATTTGATGGTGACTGATTTGTCAAGGAATGCAGTGGAAAGGACTTTGAAATGCCTTGCTGTTCAAATGTGCTATACAAATAAAATTTGATTGATTGATTGATTGATTGATTGATTGGAAACGGGCTTTGATAGAATACATTTACCGGGGAATGCATACAAAATATTCAAATGTGTCATGTGCTCTGTTCGCTAACAATATATTTGGCCAGATGTATGGGTTTTCAGTGTCATAGTCTACAGCTTTGGCTGGGAGCAAAGCAACAAGTGTAGGTTTTATTGCAGCCAAAATTTCCACCAATATCACGGTGATATGTTTAACTTATATCAGGCAGCTCTGCAACAAGACAAAAAACTGTTTTTGATGGTAAAGTATTGGTGATTTAGGTCTTGCTTTCTAAAATGTCTTTTGGTAACATTTTTAGGTTGGTGTTTTCTTTCTATTTTTACATTTGGAACATTTGTAAACCAAAACTAATTGTATATTCTTAATTCAAAAATATTCATATAAAAGCTATATTCAGGAACAAAAAAAAGTGTCTTTTTTTAGCATAAGGGATGATATTTAATCTCATAAGAAATATTACAAACCTCAAAGAAGTCTGAAGCTGTGTGAAAAGTAAAATGACATGCAATTAGAAAAGCTGGCATTTTTTTGTTTCTTCTGATCTTTCAGTGACAATGCTTCTCAAAAGCCGAGTTGTCTTATCACTTGGTGTTCGCATGTGCTCTACACATGTAACAGGTCCAGTGATTGAATCAGGAAGACCCAGTTCAGGTAAAGCAAGAGCTTTTTAGAACCACATATACCCATTCTTTCTACCAGGCTGCATCTAGTAGAAAATTGTTTATCTATCCATCCATTTTAAAACATTGTAAAAAATGTACCTCCTTTTGTTTAATTAAGATCTAAACTTAAATTTGTTGGATATTGATAAGTTCTTGTTTGACTCTCAGACATGTCTGAATTCCGAAAGGCCTTCGCCAAAGCCAAGAACATAGCAATCATCACCGGAGCAGGTGTGAGTGCAGAGAGTGGCGTACCGACTTTCAGGGGAGAACATGAGAAGTGGAGGAAGTGGCATTCCCAGGTACATTTTAACAAAGAAGCTATGTCTGATTACAACATTCTTCCCTCAGAGCTCCATTCTTTAAACTTGTCCATGTGGATCTACCCCCCACAGGACCTTGCTTCTCCAGAGGCCTTCTCTCGCAACCCATCTCGGGTTTGGGAGTTTTATCACTACAGGAGAGAGCTTGTGTTGGACAAGAAGCCCAGCGCCGTCCATTTGGCCATAGCAGAGTGTGAAGCTCGCTTGAAGAAGCAGGGGCGCTCAGTGGTAGTCATCACCCAGTGCCAAGATGATTTGCACCAACAGGCTGGGTCAAAACATGTCCTCAAGATTCACGGTGAGTATTAGTGGGAAATTCTGTAGTGATGAAATTTGCAAGAACATGACGAGCAATTGTCAAGATTTTTTCTGCACATTTTAATTGACCATATTAAAATGTAATTTAAATTTTTCCGTTGGAAGTTGATCCTTTCACTTCAAACATAAAGTAAAATCAATTTATTTGAGGAAAAGTATAATGAAGGTTCCTCATGGCAAATGAAGTGACAAGTATTAAGGGTCTTAGGCACTTGAGCATATGAAATGGACAGATTCACTGCAATAACACATTATGTCAGCCATTTGGTCAATATGTCCTCATGTCATAAAGTGCAAACAAAGAAACATGGTTGTGTTTGAGTTTTGGATTTTTTGTGACCTTAGACATTCATAGAACTCTTCACAATTAAGAGAAATAAATATTATTGCACACTATTTCTAAAAGTATTTACTTGGCTGCCTTTCCTTTCATATGAGTTTAAGAGACATTTCATGTTTATTTCGCATTCTGTAATGTCAGTCCAACCTTTGCAATTATAACAGTTTAAACTCTTCTGGATTTGCTTTCTGTGAAGCAAAGGAGTTGTTGTAATTTATGACTGTTCTTCCTTGTCTGTATTTGTGTGGCCAGACAGTGATGTAATCTCATCCGAAAAGATTTTCTGTCAGGTTAAGATTAGGGCTCTTTCCAGATCAGCCTCGTTCTTTCACACCAAATCTCCTCATCCTTGTCTTTCTGGCTCTTGCTTTGTGCTTTTGTGCAGAATCTTGTTGAAAAATAAGGGCTCATTCCCAAACTACTTCCACAGAGTCAGGCACGTAAAATTAGCCAAAAAGTGTCTTTATATGGTGAAGCCTTACGAGTTCATTTGACTGGAACTAAAGGGATGAGTTCAGCTCCTGGAAAAACAACCCCACACTGTAATCCTCTTTGTACCAAACTTGATGTGTGACACAATGCAGTCAAGCAAGTGCTGTTCTCCTGGTAAATGCCAAAGACAGACCTGCACATTAGTTTGGCACACAGAGACTCATGATCATGGTCATCACTGCCAAGTACTTGAGATTATGGTATTCCAGTGAAACATTCTTAAGACTCAGCACTGAATGTTTGTAATGTTTTTTTTTTTTCTTCTCAGAATCCCAAGTCACACCACAACTATTAAAAAGATTAAATTATTTTTGTGTTCTTTGCATTTTGTGTACTGTGTGTAAATTTGCATGTGTGTGTACGTAACTGCAGGCAGTCTGCTGGAGACACGCTGTATGAGTTGTGGACAAGTGACCGTGAACAAGCAAAGCCCCATATGTGCTGCTTTAAAGAGCAAAGGGTAGACAGCCCTTGATGATTATACACACACTAATAAACATCCAGAATTTGTGGTCTGATCCCTTCTGTTTGACTTTACACAATTTGCTTGGTTTCAGAGCACCTGGCACAAATGTTCCTGATGAACAGATTCCTGTGGATAAACTACCAAGGTGAGATTATCTACACACTGTATTATTAACACTGACAAATATATTTCTTAAGCTTTTTGGCTCCCCATTTTACTGATTTCAGGGGAGTGTTCCCAATGTCGATGACCTGAAATATTTTGACAGAAGAACCTTTAATCTTCTTGCCTTTAAGCTTGTCAAATATTCATACATAGTAAAAATAAAATATTAAAAATTGTGTTACATTTTATATTTAAAACACTTAAGCAATGGTTTTTATACTCATGGATTTCACTCATTTGCGCTTTAATATGGTACAAAAAGTCCAAGTTTTACATTCTACTTATTTTATATGCTTTCTAGATTTTAATACTATCAAAAACCAAAATAAAAACCGGTTATGTCTCACCCTAAAAGAACCAAGAAACAGCCAACTAAAACATTCAGTTCATTTTTTTTTTTTTAGCTGAATGTCCCTTTATGCTCTTCTGATTAGAGTAAATGGGGGATCTAATGCGTGTGTCGTATATGCACAAACACAGCCTAAAAAGAATGTAGCAGCTTGTTGCTGGTAAAGAAACATCGTTTCCAAACAGCCCTCTGTTCAGATTTCAATTTTTAGCTTTGCTTTTCTTCATTTGTGCCCTCCAGGCAGACAGCATTATTGAAGCATCACTCAGTAGGGATAATTTTTCAATAGAAGATGCAAAAGACGAATGAGAGAAACTATGAAAGGAACTGTCTGCTAACACATTTGCATGAAAGCATTTGTTTAATGGCACATCTTATCAAGCTGTTGCACTTACCTTATTCTCATTTCAACTCTGTTGTGAATCAAATTTGTATAAACCTTAGGCGTTATGCATATTTTACACACAAGGTTTGTCTCCAGGAGATGCAATGCAACTCTACATGCTCTTTAAATTCAGAGGCAACGCAGGAAATTGAACTCGTCCACTAGAGGGCAGTGATGTTCTTCGAGGTCAAATTTTGCCTAAATATGACCAAAGTGTTCTGTATTCATTTCTCAGTGACAGTTAGGTGATTGCCCCCATTTTTATCTTTGACTTTGCCTTTCAAACATGTTTCTCAGCTGACTGAACCCTCATTATTTTGCTGTTTTTAGTTTTTTTTTTTTTTACTCTTCGGTCAGAGCTGGTTTAACCTATACTTCTTGTTGCTGTTCTATAAAGATGTGAGGAGAGAAACTGCCACGGTCTTCTGAGACCCAATGTCGTCTTCTTTGGGGAGACTTTGGACTCTCACATTCTGACTAATGTAGAAAAGGAAATTGAAATCTGTGACCTCTGTCTGGTGGTGAGTTGTCTTTTATGTAGGTATATTGGCACACATTTCACCTGTGAGACAGTTTTATGGAATGCTGTATTTTTCCAGAGTGTTTAGGACTTGACCTGATTTGCAGCATTGTCCGGAGAAATCTGAAGTTGACTCTTGGGTTATTGCTCCCTGTTGTTTACTTGCAGGTGGGGACGTCATCCATTGTTTACCCAGCAGCCATGTTTGGTCCCCGGGTTGCATCCAGAGGTGTTCCAGTTGCAGAATTTAATATGAATACAACACCAAAAACTGAATATTTTATGTAAGTCAGTAAGAACACTAAACTTCTATTTTAAAAACATATGTGATCGTCTGCATTTATAATGTTAGCTTCAAAAGTAACCAAAAGAATCAATAGCAGATGTAACACCACTACTTCTCAGCATTCTAACATTTGTGTTATCTTTTACTCTGTTTGATGGGACACAGGTACCATTTCCAGGGTCCATGTGGAACCACGCTGCCACCGGCTCTGGCACCACATGAGTCCGAGGAATTGTAAAAATCATTAGGCTGTTTTCTTTAGATGAAAGTTGGTGGTTTCTTCTACATTCTAATGCAGTCCAAAGCTGCTGCATTTCATCATAGTTTATCAAATATCAAACTGCCTGGAAAAACAGTTTTTAAAATATAATGAATTTCTTAATACTTGAAAATCTTGCTTATAAACTGGAGTCAGATCAGATAACTTTTTTGACAAATATTCTCTTCTTACATTAGAATTAAGGTGGGAAAATGTAACTTCATTGTGAAAGGTAATGCACTCCATATTTACTTACTTTCATAGAAAATGATATTCCTTCTTCAGATTAAATGTTTAGGGGAGATCCTTCTTTGTAGAAACAATAATGCTTTAGAAAGATCTAAAATTCTTTCTTGTGCCAATGGATAGGATTCCTCTGTTCCTTTACTATCCAATGAACAGGTATGCAGACATGCTCTTGTGCCTTTTCAAGCTGTTGATTCAACTTTGACCAAATGCTTGCTTATAAACCTCAAATGCAAATCAACCAATGTTACAGAGATTTAGTCAAGTGTTTAGTTTACTAAAAATAGCAATGGGTAAAGCAGAATAATATACTTCTCATTGTGTTTGACAATGTTTGATATGATGTCTGAAGTCATCTGGTTACATGTATGAAGTATTCAGGAGACATTGTTTTCTCAATCAAATATGGTTAGAACAAAAAGCAATAACATGATTTTTTTTTCTTTTTTACATTTTCATTGTCAACGAACTATATGCACAGCTACTTTTTAAAGTATTAATACTGCATTTACACAAAGCATTATCATTAAAATTCTTCAGCGATGCATACTGACTTTTGTGACTTTTTCTTCTGATTCACAGTAAAAGAATACAACCCTGCATGTGCTTAATGTGAACACTAGAGGCCATGGTTTAGCTTTCTTTAAGTTCTTTTATTTTCTTCTGGGGAGGGGAGATGGAAACAATTTTGCAGTTTGTTCATTTGTTATTTCTGACTGTTTGTTCAGTTGTTATTCCTGACTGTTCTATCATAAGGCTGTTGAAAGAAAAGTAGTCAACATAAAATATTTGCATTCAATACCTTTCACAGTTAAAATGGGTTGTAATAGAGAAACATTTGTGTTAGAGCTGCACTGTTTATAACAGGAGTTCCCAAATTGTTCTGTTCCTGACCGATGAAAGAACAGTGGAAGACTCTTGTGACCCCAGCTGTCAACCGAGTATGCAAAAGAAATTGAAATTGAGATGGTGTTTTGTGACCACAAAAAAAAAAAAAAACAATGTCAACATTCAACATTGTGTAACATAATTATAAGAATTGATTCTTTTCATGTTTTAACATTTACAGCATAGCTGCTTCTCTACCATCATTTCTGAGAATCACAATGTTTTAAATGGGTTAATTTGAGACCCATTGTGGGGTCCCAACTTTGGACCCCACTTTGGGAACCATTGGTTTATTAAATTGAAATATAATTAGCATGATGTCACTATTGCAATAAACTGCTTGGATGCAATACCTAGCAGGCTATTGCATCCAATATAAAATGCTGTGTTTTGAAAAAAGTATTTGCTGCCCTACAGCTTTCTTCTGTTTTTGCTTTTATTGACAATTTGAAGATTTCAATTTTACTTCATCAAACAATTTTTAAAAGTTATTAATCTCAGCCTGCCCTTACATAAAAGGGCAGGGAGTAAATTACTGAGGCTTCAGTAATTGTCCCACTAAGCCCATTAACAATTGTAACTGGCAATATGTATTTTACCTTTATGTGGAGGAATTTTGGCCAACTCTGTTTTTTTGTTTGTTTTTTTTTTTAATCAATAAACTGCCTCTTCACGGTTGTACCACAATATCTATATCAAATTTAAGTTTCCGTTTAGGTAAGGCCACTCCAATACCCATCTTCAGGTATTGTGTTTGCCATTCAAGGGTATACCTATTCTGGATATTTTTGATGTGGCCTAATCCAAGTCTGCTTGAGTTTGAGGTCACAAAATGATGTTTGGACATCATCCACCTGTCTGTGAGTCAATCAATCAATCAGTCAATTATTTTACACGCTGATCCCTGATGGGGGTGCCGGTGCCCATCTCCAGTGGTCACAGCTGAGAGGCGGGGTTTAGATCCCACCTTCTCAAATCACTTGACCTATCCTATCATCCTTCCATAAAAGGATAAGAAAAATATTCACTTTTGCTAAAACATCAATAATTGTATTTACCTGTAATGACATATTAAGAAAGCATTTGATGCATACACAATTTTTTAAAGTCATTTCATACCCCTCTTAATCACATTGAATCTCTAAACGTCAACAAATCAAACTCTTACTCTCACCAGCCTACAGCCCATAAAATACCTGCATATGCGCCAAGTCTCCTCTTTACCTTTATTATAATATGGGTGCCACACAAGACCCATTTGGATGTTGATGTTTGCATGAGTGACTTAAATATAGCATCCAAATGTTTTACTAGTACTCTAATGCGCAATGAGTACGAGCACTCATTTTAGAACACTTAAGAACTACCATAAAGTGGTTTGGGAAGAGCACTCAGTTTTCAGTAAAACGCTATAATTTGTTGCTTATTTTAGTTTTTTAAGATTGGTTTATTGTCTTTACTTAACGAGTATGTCCTCTTTGCTTTGTTGTTTAAAATCTCTCCTTACCTCATGTTTAAAAATGCTTGTCATAGTCTGCACTTGAGGTTAGGAAGCACTGATCTTCTCATGGCAGTGTACGTCTAAAATGCTCCTGCATGACTAAGTTTAACAGGGTTTTTTGTAAGCGTAATTGTGATACATGGTTAAAAATAACTTAATTTGACCATAGAAGGTTATGCTCAATAGACGGTCATAAAGAGACTCTTTCAAAAGAGCCATTTATGCCTGTGGCCAAAAGGGAGAATGGTGTGCCAGTATAAGTGTGATCTCACTGGAGCCTCTTCTTGTAGGTTCGTTTCATGGCCACTATAGTTTTAGCTCTCTCATAATAAATTTTTTAGTTCACAAAGCAGAGCGGCACTACATCACCTGATCTCGGGCCACTTTGGCAAGAAGCGTTATTTGCGGCTTCTTTTTTTATTATTTATTTCTCAAACATGGCATCTAAAGTCACATGGTTTTGTCTTCAATAAAGTATCTCTGTTATTGCATCCCATCATCATTATTTTAATTAGATTTTCCACATCTGCTTTTCTATTACTGGTGCCATCCTGGAGGCAGAAATAAGCCCAACTTCTATTTGTCACTAAGAGGAAAAAAAACAGAGAGAGGCATTTAGTGGGAATCTCAACTGTCATCTTTGGAGCAGGTTTAACCCAAGAGCTCAACCTCCACCTCCTTTGTCTTCTTCCTTGTGGATATGAAGTGGAAAACAGTTTTGAGACATAAATCGTTTAGGGTAATAGATTTGTCATCAGTGGGAGCTTAACAAATACTTATTTTTATTTGAATACATTTTATTGACACGCATCTCTGCAATATTAGTGTTTAACTTATGTTAAATACATTGCAGAAATGCAAAATTCCTGGTAAGATACAACCAATCAGAACCAGGTCTTAGCACTGTCAATCAAGCTTGTGTATGTTGTGCTATCGCCCTACCTCTTGCTACTACAACTCCTCACAGCAGAGCCTCTCAAGAATGCACAGACTAGTTAGGGTGGCCACTGATGACCGTTATAGTAAATCAGCAATCTTGAGCAGCACTTACATGAGCTTGATTGATGGTTGCTAAAACCATCCTCCTGGCTCTGATTGATTGTTTCTCATCGGGAGAGCTGTAATTCTGCCCTCATGCTTCTAATCAAATCAGAGTTCTCCTGTAAGGAGTATATGAACGTATCTGAACATATATAAATGTATCCACATTTATTCTGAGCCCAGCTATCATTTCATAGGAGTTGGCTCTTACAAATTCACCAGAAAAAATTAACTCTTAAGAGTTGATGTTTTTGAGCACGACCTATCAATAGTGTATGCGCATCAGGAGAAAAATATGCAGTGTGTATTCATCCTGCGTGTGTGTAAAACTTTTCTTTTTATGGACAGACTGACAGAAATGTCAGAAAAATGCAGGGAAGGCTGGCTGAACTTTCATAAATTTTACACAGTTCCATACGGAAGCCATCCAGTTACACAGCACATGTCCACATCTGTTTAGAAAGACACAGTTCACTCTGCCATGTTAGCAATGCAGGTTGTCTTATTTGACAGGCTGTGCTTTTATATGGCTAGTAGTTCTGCCTTAACTGGATCATGTTGTGGTGTTCTTTTCCATAACCATTGAAAAAGAAAGTAATTTTGTAATCATTCATTACAACAGTCTTCTATTGATTGAGGTATTTTAATATTGCCACACTTAAAGTTTCTTTGGTCATTTTAAGTTTTCTAACAGCTCTATAACAGCTAAAAAAAAAGCAACACTTGAAGTTCCACAAATCCAAAATGACATGAGCTGAACAAAGCTAAACTAAATACCTTCAAAAACAAACCACGACAAATTTAGAGCAGAGTTGAGCAAACTTGAGCAGTGGAGAACAGATGAACCAATTAAAAAAAATAAATTAAAACCAGAGAGCTTAAATGCTTAGGGGTGAGATATAAAATGCAAGTGTGATAATCAGATGATTATTAACGGCTGCGGAACCGACAGAAGAGAGATGAATAATAACACAAAAGAAGCTTGAACTACTAAACACTACAAACAATAGGTGAAAATACTTGATATAATCTGAGAGTCATAAATGTAATTTCCCAATGAACGGAACACAAGAATAACAAACACCAAACAAACAAATGAACTATGGGAAAATCTTAATGATAATAAGATTATTGTCATTTTTATTCTAACAATAACGCCTGAAACAATTAAAGAGCATCACAAAATAAAATCAGTTCTCTTTGACATATTCTCCAATGGCCATTGTCTTAGCCTGTTGGTCTGTCTCTCTGTGTATTTCCTTGCCAGGCATTGCATGCAGCAAACTGTAGGTGCTTGGATTCAGTGTGGCACGTGATCCTTCGAAAGACAACCTTACGTACGATGGAGGACACTTAAACTGGACACAAAGACACATGCGCAAACACATGTACACACTCAGATTATCGGAATTATCTAAAGCTTTAAGAGGATTTCTGAAAAGTGGGTGTTGTACTTGAATCTCATGTGCCTGATGGCTATTGATCTACTCAAAGCTTACAAACAGAACCGTGTGCAACAAGTGCAGGTACTTCTTGCAATCATAAACAAGTTTCCTACTTCTTTTTGTTTAGGCGTCTAATGATGTTATCTGCTATATTAAGCTACATACTTACATATACACTAACTCAAGTTACATCAAAAACTCTGAAAAAAAAACTGTCCTTGTTTTCAGAAATGTATGTGATCAGGGATACTACCTCTTCAATAAAAACCTTGGTGTATATTCATCTAGGTATGGTGATACTTTCACACTTGACAGCTTGCTGAATACAAGCTGTGGCTTGTCACTATGCACTTCTGAGGAATTCAATCAACACCCTGCTGCACCCTGCCTTCTATACATATGTATAAATTCCCTTCTCACCCACCGCGGGTGGTTCTTATCCTCTGAGCTCGGGTCCTCTACCAGAGGCCTGGGAGCTTGAGGGTTCTGCGCAGTATCTTGGCTGTGCCAAGGACTGCACATTTCTGGACTGAGATGTCTGATGTTGTTCCTGGGATCTGTTATAGCCACTGCTCCAGTTTGGGGGTTACTGCCCCGAGGGCCCCGATGACCACAGGCACCACTGTGGTCTTCACCTTCCAGGCCCTCTCCAGTTCTTCCCTGAGGCCCTGGTATTTCTCCAGTTTCTCGTGCTCCTTTTTCCTGATGTTGCAATCACTTGGTATTGCTACATCTACCACAACGGCTTTCCTCTGTTCTTTATCCACTACGACAATGTCTGGTTGGTTCGCCATTACCATTCTGTCTGTCTGGATCTGGAAGTCCCACAGGATCTTAGCTCTGGCGTTCTCCACCACCTTTGGGGGTGTTTCCCACTTTGATCTCGGGGTTTCCAGTCCATATTCTGCACAGATGTTTCTGTAAACTATGCCTGCCACTTGGTTATGTTGTTCCATGTACGCTTTCCCTGCCAGTATCTTGCACCCTGCTGTTATGTGCTGGACTGTCTCAGGGGCCTCCTTGCACAACCTACACCTTGGTTCTTGTCTGGTGTGGTAGATCTGGGCCTCTATTGCTCAGGTGTTTAGGGCCTGTTCCTAGGATGAGGGCCTCTGTGCTGTCCTTGAGTCCAGCTTTTTCCAGCCATTGGTAGGA